AGGGCATCACCCAATACAGAAATCCCGCTTCTTCCATAATCATCATCTACATAGACAGCGATGACATCCCTCCATCCATAATAATCAATCAAATCAGCAACTGCATACATCTGATAAAGGTCACTCTGTGTTGTGCGGAGGAAATATGGGTACTGCATTGAAGAGAGAGTGGGATCTGTTGCTGCAAATGACAGAAGTGGTACGTTGAGTTCATTGACAACATGGGAGATCACATGAGCTATGCCAGAGGATTGTGGACCAATTGCTGCAACCACTTCATTTTCCATCAGCTGCAAAGCTACATCGTAAGGACACTCCCATCAAAAATTTCATCTTTCTAATCTTTTTATAGAGGGATATTGAAGCAAAACAGAGTTACTTCACTAGTAATGGTACCTAATTCTTTACATATTTAAGATTCCATTTTATAAAGTTGACGGTAGCCACAGATAGTTGCACTGTTTAGAAGATTGCACCGTGCAGACACAAAATTCAGGGGCGATATTAACTTAGATGATGATGCTAATTCAATGGTTCCACTATAGTTACAAACATCAACCTTTATCATTCATTTGATACTTGGACTATCTATAACTATAGAGCCAGATCAATCACCCATATTTTTGGGGCACAGAAGATAGAAACTGCAGATTTGACACACATCAAAGTAATTAATAAGAACACATAGGATGTCACTAAAGTAGGAAACATAAAATGATTACTAATGAAAAAATCATAATAATCATGTGACTTGTCCTTCAGCCACCATAGGACAGTCTGCTTCATTCAAAACATGTGATCAACCGTACAGTCTCTTGGGTACGATAAACAACAAAGGCAAAATACTTAAGAGAAGTACAATCATACTCAGAAACCTAAATTCGTAAAGGCAGATTAATATGTCTGAACACTTAGATGCTTTAAGCGATGGACATTGGAATCCAGAAATTCAATCCATAAACATAATTTAACTCATTTCTTTATTCAAGTAAGAATACTGTTGGTTTTCTGATTCCTAAAACTAAAATAAATGCTTAACTCAGTTTCCTCTGAATAAATTAGGGCGTTGAGTTTAGAAATTACCTTCCACAGTTCCAAGAAATCCGCTGCAATTCGTGTCATGGATAACAGAGTTCAATTTTGTCCCAGGAAGAATAGTTGGATCAGAATTAACATCATCAACTGCAGCCGCAATTGCAGGCCCCGCAGCCCTCCCAATAACTGAATCAACAGTAAATAAAGCTCCAATATTCACGGACCGAAGTATTGAAGAAGAATTTTCATCTTTTCCGGCTCCCTCCATGACTTCCATACGCACCCACATACAAAAAAGCAACAACAGCAGTCTTCTAGTCATTTCTTTATTGCAAGGCCCGGAATCAAGAATACTCCTTGCCTAAGAAAGTTGGCAATTAATTGATTAATTCTTCTGCTAGAATTACCATACGTTCATAAGCACCTGCCAATTACAAACATGAACACCACATGGGATTAAGAAAATCACAAAGCTCTACTCAACTGATAGAAAAGATGGTCTCTAAAGCAGCCAAATGCAAACAGAAAACAAAGAAAATTCAATTACCTTATACAAACAAAAATCTGGGGACTCAAAATCCAAGCTTGACCAACTTAAATACAGTCTATGCCTACCACGTGAGGAACAGGGAAAATATTAAACTAAAGGAACAAGTTGGAAAAGAAATATTGAAGATTACAGCAAATCCCACATGCCAGGAAGAACTGAAAACTTAACACATATAAAGATATGGAGAGGAAGTTGCATGGTGGGTGGGGATGAAGATATTTATCTGAATAAGCAGAGACAGATAAAGCTTTGAACTGTTGAATCCACAATATATAAGGTTAAAAGACACAACAAAACACTTCACAATCACATTCCAACCACTAGTAAAGAGAGCTTCAAAGCTATAAACAGTCTTTGAAGCTCAAGTAAGGAATCATTTCCCTCACTTTCATGTCTCTTTGTCTAATTTGTCCACCCCTCTATTTATTTTAATTATATCTTTACCTTTCTAAACTTTTACCTAATTATTTGTTGGAGTTTAACATAAGTTATATACATATAAAATATTGGAAATGGGTACGTCAACCAAAGGCCAAGAGGCGAAATCAGAATCTTATGGAATTACCGATGATGGCCCATGCATGCATTGGACTGTATATGTATAGTTATGGCATCATTAATTGGTAGCAGCAAATTTGCAGGAAAACAACAACAATTATGTAAGGTGGGGGACAATATTTATGTGTGGAACACGTGATCCTACCGTATTTACCCCGTCAATGCGTTAGGATTTGATTCTTTTCAACTTTAGGTATCCATCCTATTTTTATTTTATTTTAAATTCATTCAATTAAACAAATTGATATAAGATAAAAATCATTGTTAAAATATTTGTTTTAACTGTCTTTTGATGATTGAGTGATTCGATAGAGGCTTTTAAATGTATTATTCATAAGGTCTTGAGTTTGATTTTCTCATCGGTCGACAATTGATAATAAAAATAATCACTTAAATTCTTACTCAATCGGTAATTCCATGAGTTTGATAGATTAATTAAAGTGTGTATAATTGATACAACACTCTCTATCATTTAAAAAAATATATATAAATATATGTTTTCATCAATTCCCTTAATTTATTCTATATTATTTAATAACGCTGTGGGACTGGTCTGTTGACGTCGTTAGAAACTTAAAATATCAACAAATAGCTTTGACCAAAATGAATTAAGATATGAAGAAAATTCAAAAACGAGTGGACAAATAACGGATGCCTAACATTATATATGATGATGATGACGATGATATCACAATAACTTTATTCAGAGATGTCATTATAATGTAAGCAACTGGTGTTGTTATTTAATCAACATACAAAATCTGACTTATCGTCACCTTTGTTTTTGTTTTTGTTTTTTTTTTTTTTTAAATCGCTATAGTTTTTAAGTTATATCTCAACTAATTTTTTAAAATTTTTAAAATTATCACTGTAACAAAAGTTTTAATAATCATCTTTATTAATATTTGAGAGATTTAAACTCAAAAACTCTTAAAATCTCTTTTATTTTTTTATCATCAGACTATCTAATGGTGATTAATGTCACACTTTATTTTTATATGAAAAATAATTGAAATTAACTTACATTAAAAAACAAAAAAAAAAAACAATAATATACTACCAGTAACTGTACTAGTTTACATAAAAGGAAAAGAATCAGAAAAAGAATTAAGTGTTTGTTAAAAGGGATTATATATCGGCTGTTGCTGCTAGTTTTCCCTTTGTAACAAGCAACAATTTTTAAATTTTAATGCTGTCAAAGCTGTATGATTTTGTCTGTCATAATTTAGGATTATGAGAGACTAAACTTTTGTTTATGTTCATGAAGGTACTGTATATATATAGTATCCAACTCAGATACCTTTAATAAGGACTTCCATATAATTAAAAAAAATAAAGAGTGGGTCGGTCCGTATAATTTAAGATGTGGATGCAGTTATAAATATAGAATATTTGTAATGGTTGTGACATGGAAAGTAATCACAAGTGGTTAATTGCTTTAGAGTGTTAAAGGATGAGAATAAATTAATAAATCAAATAAATTTGATATTGACCACATCTTTACAAAAAGTATTAGATGGACAATATCTAAAGAATCACACTCACGTTCCCTTCCTATTCAGCACAAGATAAAGAAAACATCGTGCTTCACGCCCCAATACCTGTAACCAACATATTACACAAAATACAAGTTTTAAATATAAATTCATTAAAAAATAAATATCACCAATTTCTTTAATTTTTACTTTTAACACTATTCTCTCAAGTGTTTTTAACTTAAGTGTTTAGGTTAATTAACGTGTATACTTTAACTAATTATCAGAATCTATTAAATATTTTATAAATCTAAAAAATAGTATAAACAATAATGTTATTGATGACATTAATATTTAAACTCAAAAACTATAAAAATGAAATGAACGTTACTGACTCCAAGTCAAATCCTTTGAAGATTTTTTTTTTACTATGCGTAAGATAATTACCCATGTGGCGATATAATATATATGAGAGCTTTGAGGATGACACAACTGTTTTCACATGGTCCAGATTAATGAAATGGACAGAGATTCTCATCAATGTTTGGTGCAATTTAAAAAAAAAAATTAAGAACACAATAAATAAAAATAAATGGAAGAAACACAATTTACACAAAAAAAAAAAAAAAAAGCGAAATATTTTAAATCAAACACGTGGTTAGATTAAGACCTCTCGGAAAAAGTCACAACACCGCAGAATATCTTGCATTTTGATATCACGAATAAATAAATCGAATCCTATTCATTCTTTTTATCTAAATTCAACAAAACATTAATACATTTTTAGATATAGAAAAAAAATTGGATAATACAAGATTTGGTAATGTTTGAACCATTTTGTACATGAAACTTATATTCGTATGTTAATTGCTTATACTTGTAATATTTGCAAATTTAAATGGTTATATAATATAATATCAGGTAATGTATAATATTTATTCCCTCCCCTTTTGAATCACAAAAGAAGATTTATCCACTGAAAGAATAATAAACAACAAAACATGACCCCTGGCCCTGGGCCATAATTAAAAAAGTAAATTTCAGAAAAGAAAAAAAAAAAATCAATTTCTTGCTTTTTTGATTGACATGAAAATGAAATTTGGAGTCTTATCCCATTAGATATTTTCTTTGCTTGTTATATGGGAGATTCTTAGCATGTAACCCATCATTTATTTGATCGTATGCCTTTGAATCTTCCACCGTCAAAATACACAATAAAATAATAAGATAAATTGTAATATATGTAACGACAAAGTAAATTGTTATAATATGATAATTAATCAGTTAAAATATATTTTACATAGACAAGTGAGGATTAAATGTGAAAGGCTGTCGGGGCTCATTATTTTATAAACATATATTTTAAAATAATTTATCATAAAAATCATGTTATACAAAAGTCAACTTAGATTGGTAAGCGTATCCAATAAAATAAGAGAAAGCAGGTCCCGGTGGGTTCTCTTAATGTGAACCATCTCGTACGTCTTTGGTTAAGGCATTCTTAACCACACCTGAGTATTTATTTAGAGGTGTCCACTCCACATTTCCAGTTCCATTATTTTACGTACCTTGTGTTTTGGTCCTACAACAAACGCACTCCCCACAAGTATCCTATAATATGTTACAATTTTAGTTAACAAATATATCAGCAAAACTGGTATTTACAATTTTATATGCTTCATCAATTCTAATCAGTATTGGATAAGAAAATTAGTACATGAGTCTTAATTAAGTTGCACTAAATGATTGGTTTAGACACCAATTCACTTCAAACGGATGTACCATGTTGTTGGGTTGCTGAGTTCACATGGATTTGAGGATTCTCGCAATGACTGAACATCTTTTTGATAGCTTCTTCCTTCTCATCAATGAAGTCAAAAAAGTTATAAATGAGCTGAGAACAGCTGCTACTTGATGAAGTTGGGGTTGAAGATGATGAAGAAGAAGAGAGCATCTCCCTTTTTTTGTAACGCACAAACTGGCGAACCACTCTTAGCAGAAACACAAAAAGAGCACTGAGGGTGATGATAACACATAAAATGTAAAGACCCCAGAAGCTGACCAACTGGAGTTGGTGAGGCTCCGAGTTTTGGTTCCTCTCTTCTGGGCAACCCTTTTTACAAAACCATCTCTCACGAAGCTTCTGAAGCTGTCCATTCTCAGAAAGTTTTAAGATTGCAGTAGACATGTCGACAGCAAGAGGAGAACCTCTTTGAAAGGCCTAATTAATTGCAATGAACAAAAGCAATGAGAAAAAATGTCTGAAACTATAATAGTAGAATGACATTTGGTTATCTGTTTTCCTTCAAATTTCATGATATGAGTTCTAATGTTTGCATTTATGCTAAAATCTGTGAGCAAAAATGTCTAGGTTCAAGATTAAAAGTATTCTAACAACCCACATTTATAAACTTGTCAAACCACCTGCATAAGGGAACCAACTTAATATGCATGCTTTTACTTGTAAAAGAAGCTACTTACAAATCCCCATCCACTTTTGGTAAATGGTTGCCCAATAATCCCAAAATCGGTTCGCTGTTTTAGAAACAACTCCACATATGGAAGCTCATCCACTATAGCTGCTACCCCACCATTAATTGGACCTTGCCTCAGAGCTCTTTCGTAAGCTTCTGGAGAGCTCAGAGAAATGAGTCTTGAGCGTGGTATGTGAAGACTTTCCGATAGATAGTTATAACTGAATGACCCCACTTGGTACCCAATGGGCCAATCATTGGCAATCAAGCTGTCAATTCCCTGGATGGGAGTTGAAAGTTGCTGAACAGTGAGGATCGAACTCAAGCTTGCTGTATAGCTTGAAGTTATCACCATCAATAAGAAAAGCCAGACCACCATCACCAGCCGTCCCAGTGGGCTTATAGTAGCTTCTTCTGTGGTTTAATAAGAAAATGAAATTTTTGTCAGATTAATATGAATCTGAACATTGCCACTTTTAGGACTATAACCAGAGTGGTGATAACAGAATTTATTTTACTCTCAACATTTGATAGAGAAAGGGATGAAATAAAAACTTTTGTGGTAACAGGAAGTAATTGGCAGCAAACAATTAGTCTAAAACCACATTAACTTATAACATTTCAAAAGAAGTAGTCTTCATATTTTAGGCCTGATTTTGGGCAAGAAAAACTAAGATACTCTGGTTAATGAAGTTTAGAGTTTGAAGCTCCAGGACTTGTTAGTGATCTATTGTGTACTATGTAAATTATAGAATTTTCTGGAAACAAGACGGGGGGTTTTCTATGTATTGAAGAGTTTATTGTATAGCATAAGTTGTATGCTCTGTAAAGAATATGTATTGTCAAGCTAAAGGAGGTCTTGACCTTATTCTGCAGGGCTGCCTTAGTGAAAGATGCACAGCTCAAGTAAAACAAAATGAAGGGAAAAGAAAAGGAGAAACAAGTAATAATTAACTACTGTAGACTGTAAAATGACACATTTCTACTTACGGTTCGTTTTAAATAGTGTTGAGAAACTGAACCTGAAACATGGAAGGATTGAAAAAAGTTAAGAGTTTACTTGGCTTATGCCCACATGGACTTCATCTATTTCAAACTCAAACTGTCTGCTGAGAAGACTTACAAAAACATTGTGACAATTTGCCTTCTAGGAGGACCCCGAAAATCATCATTGACTCGATGCTCAAGAATCCAAATAACCACTGCAATCATCACAAAAGCAGCTGCAGTGACACACCACATCTCAACTGTAAATGGTTTTAGAAATACCCAAGCACTAGACTTCCTATTGTTAATTGGAGCCACAATGACAAGACCAGTAGCAACATAAGGCTGAGAAAAATCAACAATTCTTGTTCGATTTGTCACAATTGCAATGTCCCCAACAGCTGCATCAAACACCTGAAACCACAGTTTCAAAGAACATGCAAGACATGTCCATCAAAGTTTGTCATGAGAAATCTGCCCTTTGTAAATGCATGTTTCTGAACAGAAAATGATTATCATACAACTCATACAAACGGCAAAAATGAAATCTATTTCTGGCAAAAAATTTGGCCAGATAAATCTAAGTATTCCTGAGTTTGGTGATATAAGGTTTTTAGAATGTTTTTCATGCACTAATAGACTATTCTTGCTTAATAAACTTCATTAAAGTCCTTTTTTATTTTAACTTTGATGTTTATATAACCAATGCGATCTACTTACATTGTTTGCAATCATTTCCACGAGCTTATCATAACTAGGATTGGATAGGCCATCCCCATAAGGCACAAATCTGTAAGGCACGTCATATGGGACTAATTTCCTTGCTTCGAGGAATATATCGATACAGTATCCTCGGATTTGATGGCTACTGTGCTCTTCTGTAACAAAACCAGCAAAACTAGCTCTTTTTGGCACTCCAATTCTCAAAGGTCTATCCTCATTTGCGATCACCCAACCTCGCGGTCTTTCCGTCTTTCCACCAGGCCAAGTAATATTTTGAAGCTGTTGATCCAATTGGGACTGGTTTTTCTTTTGTGCAATGAGAGTTTCAGGGGGTAAAACTGAGAAACCAAAATCACTATACCAGAATCCAACTCTTTGAATTTCCATCTTGTCAATATTTATGACCTCATAACCATAACTAACAATGTTCCGATCTTGATTAAACTTAAATTGACCTGTTAAACCAGTAAAGTTTGTCTGCAATAATTTCCTGCGTAGAAGCTCCCCACCATCAAATACTCTGAGCTCCCCCAGCTTTACTCCAGTTACTTTGATATCAAGTGAGTCCTTATTGACAGAAAAGGTGATGTTATTTTCATCTATGAACTCATCGATGGAACGCGCAACTGCCCAAACTGTATCATAAGCATACATCCCATACGTATTCAACCCAGAACTTGCTAATCCTTTCTGCTCCATATTGCTCCACTGAGAAAGAAAGGCCTTCTTACGGGCGGACTCTGGAGTATGTTGACGAAGCGCTACTATTCCTTGGAGATTACTAAGTGAAGTTCCATTCAGAGGAGAGAATGAATCTAAGGTAGCAGAAAACCAATCTGTTGCAAGCCAAACATAGTTGCTGGTCATCATTTTAAGTTTTTGGGCCATAGCAAAGATTCTCAATCTGGGGTCAGGATTAACATGGACAACATAAACTCGAGGACCAAACAACTTGGATTTATTGAGTGCATCTATGATGTCATTCTGATCAAACTGAATATTTAAAGGCAATTTATATGAAATTTTTGCCATCTTCTTCTCCAATGCATCATCTAAAGCAGATACGCCATTCCTCCCATAATCATCATCTACATAGATGGAAATAACTTCTTTCCACCCATAAAAATCAACAAGATCTGCTATTGCAGCCATTTGGACGTAGTCACTTTGGGTACTTCGGATAAAGTAAGGGAATTGCTGGGAAGATAAAGTTGGATCAGTAGCAGCATATGAAATTAGAGGTACTTTGAGGCCATTGGCAATTTCAGATATCATATGAGCTATTGAGGAAGACTGGGGGCCAATTATGGTCACTACCTCTTGCTCGATCAGTTCAAAAGCTGTCCAAAGAAAAGAAAGAAAGGGACAATTTAAACAATGTAGTTTTCAAGTACTTCAGTTCTTGAGTATAAAAGCAGCAACACTAATATTTATTTATTTATTTATTATTATTTTTTTTTCAGTCAAATTTCTTGGGGATATGCAAAATCAAGCATGCCATCATGTCAAAACTTGATAAAATTATCGTTTACAATGCCTAATTTTGAAGAAGTTCACAAATTATAGATTCCTCACGCATGATAGATGGATATAAAAAGAAATAGGAAAAAATCACTAATCAATGATCTGGCAGAGTTACACAAATGGAAACATAAAAATATCAATTGTCACCCACGAAGAAATTCAAACTTTTCCTAAAACCATTAGATTAAAAAAAAAAAAAAGAAAAAAAACTGATATCAACACCACAGTAAAACTTAAATCACAACAGGAGAGAAAAAACTATAAAAGTAAATTTAAGCGAGAAAATTTGAAGGCACCTTCAATGGAACCCAAGAAGACACTACAACTTGCGTCTTGCTCAATCAACCTCAACTCAGTCCCATTGAGAATTACTGGATCAGCATTAATATCGGAAACTGCAACTTCCATTGCTAGCTTTGCAGCTCTACCTATAACCGAATCAAAGGTAAAAATTGCACCAACTTTCACAACAGCAGGCCTCTGGCAATACACAGAACCACAAAGAACTATCCATACAAATACAAACTGTGGTAAAACCGCCAAATATTTCATTTTTGAACAATATCAACCCAACCCAGCAACAGAAAATTGTTCCCTGAGCTAAGGTTTCATAGACTTAAAAGACTTGACAATTAAACCGGGTCAGCAGTACATATTTACTGATACCCAGGTAATTTTCAAAGAAGAGGCATACTAGAGGAGAGGACTGAGGATCAAGTTCAACAATGAATAGAAAATGAAAGGGTGGCTGACTACTCTGTTGCTTGATCAGAGAACTACCAACTACTTAATAAAGACAGAATCTTGGTCACAGACTCACAGGAAAGTCCACAACTTCAATACAGAGAAAATGAGTCCCAAAGATTGCAATTTGCAAAACAGAGAAATGAGTAACTGTTGATGGAACGTGTTTGGTAGGGAAATTAGTAAGGAGAGATTACGTACCCTTCCAAATGGGGAAGGATGAAGATATACGTAATCCTGAATTTGGACTCGTGAAAATTATGTTTCAGAAGTGTAAACTGTAAACTCTAACATCATGACTAAGAAAGATGAAGCTTCATACAAAAATATTTTATTATTGAGACTTGAGACTTGAGAGAGAGCCATCATCAAACAAAGGGTATCCAGAAAAAGATTGTAATTGGCCCAAATTTTGACGAAGAAACAAGAAATTCTAGCAAGCGGACAAGAAGAGAAACAGAGGACATTCAAGACAAACAACAGAAGGGAAGAGAAGATAGTTACATATCACCAACAGTACAATCAACGTGACGCACAAGTCTTGCAATCTAGTGAAAGTTATCCGGAAGATGGGGCAGAGATAACGATTTAATTACCATGGTGCTAATTTTGAGGAAGCCGTAAATCAATGTGATGCCTTCAGTTTGTATTAAATTCTTCAAGCACCATACTCCATGTTTACTTTAATGTTAAAGGAAATACATATTTTATCCGTTTAGCCATTTTAATCAGGATTGTTTGGAAGCGAAGTTGAATCAACGGTATAAATAATGATACTTTTAAGTCTTAATTAATAAATTAGATGAAATCTAAGTACTGTATATATCTCTTACTCCCTCCGTTTTAAAATAAAAATCATTTTCTGCATGTTTGGCTTAATATTTTTATCCCTATTCTGGATCCTATTCTCCAAATAATGTTTGGCACATTATTCTAGAAATACTACCTTATTTTTTTTAATTTCATTTAAACCCCATAAGGTTATTAATTTCACTAAATACCCTATGAAAAAAAAGTTTAAAAATTAACAAAAACACCCCTATCAACCCAACTTGTCAGATTCCGGCAACCACCGTCGGTGATAGTCAGAATCTGTACAACAGCCTAACTTCCAACCAGAAATGGCCGGAAGTTCACCGTTGTGGCCTTTTCCGGCCAGATCCACTACGGATCTGGCCAGAAAAGGCCAGATCTGGCCGTCAGCGACGGCCAAAGAAATAGTCGTCGTTGACTGAAAACGACGGCCACATCTTTGGCCGTCGCTGACGGCCAAAGATGGCCCTCGTTTGGCCTTTTCCGGCCGTCGACGGCCATAACAGACCGTAGATCTGGCCTTTTCCGGCCAGATCCACCATGGATCTGGCCGGAAAAGGCCATAACGACGTGTTACGGCACAGATCCGACCGGTCTGTGCCGTAACGAAATTTTTCGGCTAGATTCCGACGGTGGTGGCCGGAATTTGACACTGCAGGTAGTGGGGGTGTTTTTGTCATTTTATATGTTAGGGTCTTTAGTTAAATTAGTAAACCTAGGGGCTTTTTCATAAATTTTTAAAATTTACTTCGTAATACTCTCCTATCCAATAACCCAATATTATCCCTAAAATCCTATCTAAAATACTAAACCAAATGCAACCAAAATACTAAGGGTTTAGGGTTTAATTTTATTATTTTTTTCCAAAATAAATCACCTTCACCAAAAAGTTACGCAACTTTCTCTCTCTTCCTGTCTCCTCTCTTTCCAAAATAAATGAAGAATTGAAGATGCTGAGTGATATGCGCATTGGGGTAAGAGAGAGAAATTTGTTTACATTAAAAATATTAGAAAGAGAGGGAGTATTATTTTAGTACTTTAATATTAATTTATCATTTTAAATTTTGACGCCTGAATGTCATTATACTGTTGAAGCCGTTGGAACTGTTAGATTAGATTGGTAAAATAATAAAGAGAAAATGAAACTGTAAGTTCTATGAATTATTACTTCTTTTTTCATCACACATTAAAACTCATGTTTCAATGGAATAATTTCATTTGATAACTTGGAATAAATTATTAAAGGATATATTCTTTGATGTGCCACTAGTTCTAAAGTGGAAAGACATAAAATATAATGCTTGCTTTTTAAAGACCTTTAATGGGAATTTTTGCATGTATTCACACCCAACGACTCTAAAAAGCATAAATAAAAGTATATGGACGTGATACATGAAATGAAAGGTGAATTATGTCTAATAATAAGCATCAATTATTGTTCTCCCAATTGAAATGTAACTCTTATCGTGTTGAAAGCAACTTATTGAAAACGATTTTTTTTTTTTTTTAAAGTAATACTATACCTATAATCTAATCTCACAATCTTCTCTTACAATGCTAACGTAACAGTTGAGTTGATAACGATCACATCAACTTTTACCACACTCAAGACATTAAATAATTTTAACTAAATACAAACAATGTTCTTTCAAATTTGTTTCAAATTTCAATGCTAGGATGTTATATAAATGATTTGAAAATTGGGCCGGCTTAGAATATTAGGATCAAGCCCTAATGTAGCTGGGCGGCCCTGTTGGCCCATGATTCATGGGGCTTACGCTTACCCAGAGACAACTGAGGACACATTCGGCTTCTTATTTTCTAAGCAGGATATTTGTGTCATTGTCTCAACTGTTTAAGTTCATGTCTGGTCTGGATAACAGTCGTTCTGGATAGATAGCCCACAACCATTTTCTTTTTCTCTTGAAAATTAGAGATAGGAAGGTGTCAAAGCTGATTGATGTACGCAAATGGCTTCTTCTATCACCTCTTCTTTCCAAACTAGGTCTGTTTCCAAACTCTATGCTTTGAATTTTTTACTTTTAACTTACATGGGTTTTGTTTCTAAGTCTTACGCTTTTGTACTGCTGCCAGAGCTCCATGTTACTTTATTTGCTTCCTCGTACCCATAATTTGTTGGGAGTTTAAAAATATCTGATGTTTTTGAGGATTTTTTATTCATCCCATGAAATAGCAATGAGTTTTTTTTTCCTTTTTTTGTTTTAAGTGAAGTAGATAGAATTCGGAGTTAAGACGGACAGATCTTCTTGTTTTGAAGCTCCTTAATAGAAATTTTAATGCTTCATGGTATTTGCAAATGAATTCTTGAATCATGGATATACAGTTTGGTTGACATTTTGGAAATACTTGCATTGTTTTTCTGTGCAAACACCAAAGAAGTTTTTTCTCTCAAAAGTAAACAATTCACTTCTAAAATGCTAACAATTTTTTTCCTTGAAGCTGGTTTTATGTTGACTATTGTTTCATGACGTGAATGAGTACAAACTTGGCACTATGTTATGTGCAACTATCAATGCTTGTAGATTTTACCTACTCTCTGAAGATAAAATCTCTGTTCGAATATAATGTAGCATGTGTTTGTAAATATGGCATAATTACTGTCTAAAAAAAATCAGTTCCTATGCATATTGGCAGGGATCACCTTGGATTGAGAAAGTTAGAGGTCTTCTTAGGTCGCTTGCATAGATTGTAAGACTGTTTTGGGGGATAATATTATGAAAACTTGAAATTCTGTGTATAAAATTATTTTAACATGAGTCATGTAATTTGCATTATGTTATAACCAGGGAATTTTACTTTATTTGGTTTCTGATAAAGTGGAAAAAAAAGCATCTTGAGCCTTTTCCCAAAGAAGAAAAAAAAAGCTTAAAACCCTCAGATAAACTTTTTAGTAGCTTTGAGCTTAGTTGAGTGGAAAGTTTTCTCGGGCTATAGCTAATATTATTTTATTTCAATATCAGGATTTTATCCTCACTACATTATTTAACAATGAAACTAATAATTAGAATTCGCGTGTAGGTAGGTAAAATATGTTGGAAATACTTCTGTGCTACTTGTGGGTGAAGATTGTGAAATGAATTGTATTCTTTTCATGTAAAAGATAAACTGATTAGCTGAGAATAATGTTCTAAATTCTGAGGCTGTTGTTCTCCTATGGTGTTGCAGCAGCTTGAGGTCCTTGTTTTTGGGTGAAAGAAATGGGTTCTGTGTTTCCAGTGTTCCTGTAACTCGTGTTGGCTTTTTGAGGAAGACTATAGAATGTAAGGAGTCAAGAATAGGGAAACAACCTATCGAAGTTCCATCCAATGTGACAATCACATTAGAAGGTCAAGATCTGAAAGTAAAGGGTCCTCTGGGAGAGCTATCAATTGCTTACCCACGTGAAGTGAAGGTTGAGAGGGAGGAGTCAGGGATCCTAAAGGTCAAAAAGGCTATGGAAACAAGAAGAGCTAACCAAATGCACGGGCTTTTCAGGTAAAACTCTTCCTTATTTGGCTCCTTTTATTTCGTTTTTAGCGATTTGGTTTTCTGTAAGGTCTTCTTTATGTGCCAGTTACTTTCGTTTTTTCTTCAATTAGTTATGGTTCTTCAACCATTGTAGTTAATGCAGAAGATCTATCTGTCTTTAATTGTTTGAAACCATAGTTCAATATAGAATATTCCAAGGGGAAAAAAAAGATTTGATTTGCATTTCAAGCTACGGGATTTTATTATTATAAACAATTTGTATTTCAAGAATACTTCTACCTCATACGTATATGCTTCTGGCTTTATATTGTTGGTCTCAGCAGTAATGGACTTGTCTGTTTAATACCCTGGATTTTGTTGCCAATCAATAAATTAAGATCAGTATATACCTCACCTCTGGATGTGAAAATTCTTGGACACCAATAAATTAGATATGGGTTGTAGATTTTCTTGAAAGCTACTTTCATAGTTAAAGTGATTATCTGCCTGCAGCACAATTTTGGGGATTCATTGTTTCGTTATTTCTGGATTAAGAATGCTTTTTGTATATGTGTAACTTCATTACGTGTGTTGTTGATTTTATGTGTGTTAAATTATCATTTAGTTTAAAAGCTTAAATGAATAGGTAAAGGTCCACAATGGAATTTAAATTCAAACAGGCATCTCATGTGCATTTGCATGTGGGCAAACCCAAACACTACCAGAATCACAACATCTAAACATAAAAGGCAAATGCAATTGATTATAATTTAAGTATTTCAATAGGGGTAGCGGAACACAAGAGTACTTGGTCAACCTTGCTTTAGTATCAAGTTAAGATACCACTTGAACAAATATTATAAGCTGATACGTATTATGTCACATAATTATAAGAGATTCCTGTGTATTTAGGAAGCCAGAGCCATAAAACTTGTCTGCCAAGATGATACAAGTAATCAATGTACTAGATAACATAGTTGTAATAAGAAAACGCAAATCCTAGCCATTTTGTGATGTGTAATAGTGACAATTATCATAGTGATATCAATACCCTTTCTTTCTTTTTGTTTCTCCATCTTTAAATTTCTTTTTGGATTTTGTTCTTGGGGATGCATGGACCCTACTTGATCTGCAGGTCAGGATAAACTAGATATAGCAACAGGAAGAGTTGCTTGAAAACTTTGATATATGGGTTATATGATTACTTATTTGTCGTGTGTGCCTTTGAATCTGCTTAGGACACTAACTGATAACATGGTGGTTGGAGTATCAAAGGGCTTTGAGAAGAAACTTCAAATGATTGGTGTGGGATATCGTGCGACAGTAGAAGGAAAAGACTTGGTATTGAGTCTTGGGTTTTCTCATCCAGTTAGGATGACAATCCCTGAGGGCTTAAAAGTGAAGGTGGAAGACAATACCCGAATCACTGTTAGTGGATATGATAAAAGTGAGATTGGTCAGTTTGCTGCTTCTATTAGGAAATGGAGACCCCCCGAACCATATAAGGGCAAGGGTGTGAAGTATGCTGATGAAGTTATTAGAAGGAAGGAAGGAAAGGCTGGGAAGAAGAAGTGAGGATTTTTTTTTTTTTCTTTTTTTAGGTTCCTTCATTTTTGGTTATCAATATGCACATGCGGTGTTGAATGTACTTATAATTCAATTAAAGCAATGCCTTGCAATCTATACAGTTGAATTGATTTGATTTGAATATTGTTGTTACTGGATTATAGAAAGCCCCAAGGCTTGGGCTTTTCAGGTAAAATCTTCCTAATGTTTGCCCGGGTACAATTTATTTGCGGTGATAAATAAGTTTTATTTTGTTACAAGAAAACTTATTTTCATTATTTAATAAACATAAAACTGTAATATAAAGATAGCAATTAAACATAAACAATTGAAGTTACCAACATCTTTGTCCTTCATTTTTAGATAATTTTTCTAGTCAAAATCTTCTACCATGTCAATTTAGCATAAATCCTTAGCATACTTCATTCCTCAAATTCTTTCCCCCAATACCACCACTGGTGAGGAATCGAAACAGTGGCTAGCAGATTCTTTTCAAGTATGATTTATAATTATATCATGTGCTAATGGAGACAAAACCGTTTGGGGATAATTACCCAAGAAAGGGAGGAAATGCCTCTCTCCAAGTTTGAAACTTAACAGGATTCTCATAGACATTTGTTTCAAAAACAAAGCTCCAAGTAAGGAAGCAATTTGAGATTTGAGAATGCACTCTACAATTAAGTTGATCGTGTTTTTGCACTTAGTCTTAGACACCAAATCTAACATTAACGAGTGCGATATCATACGTCCTGATTTTAATTATTTTTTGGAATCGATGAAATCAAATTAGGCATCTGTGTGATCAATTACGGTAAGATTTGGTTTCAAAGAGATTTTTTTACTCTATTTGATCTTGTGATAAATTAATTACAAGCATATAGAAATAGTGATTAACGATCCTCCGGAATGCTCTCCAGCGCTGGCCTCCAGTTGTTATTCATACGATCGTTATTTGTTCCGACTTCACAAATACTTTGTCGTCTCAACTTCATTGCAGTCACCAATTGCTCAACTGAAGAATACTTAAAATCCTTGTTATAATTCAAAATTTGCTTCAACTCTTCTTGTGTCACCACTACTTTAATCCTCAACACCTCACCTTTTGGCTCAACATCAACAATTCGGCTTTCTCTTCTTACTCTAAGCCTCACCATCGACTTACCGCCATCAAACTTGCTCTTTGCTTCTGACTCATCTGTTGCTGTAAATGTTCCAATCGTCTCTTCAACTTCTCTCTGTGACTCATCTCCTGCATTTCTTGCTAGAGCTTTGTTATCTCTGATCAAGCAGTTTCCCATTTTGGTGAAGTAGAGAGGGAGGTCGAAAACAAGAGTTATTAAGCATTAATATATAGGGAGAGGAGGTTGGAAAAATCACATGAAAAACCGATTGTTACGGCGGATATAAATGAAAGAAGGAAAGATGACGGGATTCTTTTGGTAGAGACAAATAACAACATTTATATATATATATATATATAATGCTTTCGATACTCTTTTTATCATGCAGTGACACAAGTAGTATTTGTTTAAAACTTGAATATGAGATTATAAATTATGCATGAAGTCAGCTGCCAGAGCTATCTGATTATATAATATATAAAAAGTAATCAATTATTTAAGTGATTTCCTAAGATTCTTTGAATTCAGTTCAAAGCATATTTAGTTGGTTTAGTGACAAACAAGAGTTTTCTCCTTATTTCCAGTTGTACAGAGTCAGAGAAGTGGCGTACTAAGATTAAAACCATGTGCCTTGATTGGTTTATTCAAAGCTTAATTAAACGGTGTATAAGGTCCTCTCATTGCGCTCAATTAAATCGTGCGGCCGCATCGTAAGGTTTTTGAAAACACACGCACTTTCCACACTGATGTTTCTTTTCTAAAGTAAACTCTCTAAAGAATAAAAAATTTAATTTATGTAGCTTAAATCTCATAACATTTTTCTAGCAATTATACAAATATAAGTACTAAATGTACCTAATCATATTCAAAATCTGTATCAATTGCATGACCAGTACCGAGCTCAGTTCTCAATCTACTACCAAAACTTGATACTTTAGCTTATCATGTCACTGAGTTGTGCAATAGTTATATATACATATCAAATTTAGCTTCGAGGTCAATTCTGATAAACTTAATTTAAAAATGGTGAAATATTGAGGAAGTCAAATCTGTCGAGAGAACAAATGTAGATGGTAGCGGTGGGACTGGGTTCAATGTATTTGAGATTGTCTTCGAGTTTAGGGCACCGATTTCAGAAATTGTTTACGATAAAATTAGGTGTAAAAGCAGTTAGTTAAGGTATCTTTCACATGAAGGTTAGGTAATTGGTTTCAATGTTTTGTGGCGAATTTCTGCATGTGAAGATAGGCATAGCTCATCAGAGTCATTTTGTTTACTTTGTGATTTAATTATGGAAGACAGCCACCACCACACTTGATCTCAGTTTATTATTAATGGTTTTATGTTTGACTAATTATAATCCATAATATTAAATTTACCACCTGCATTATATTGTTCTAGACGAATAATATCTTTGCATTATTGTGTTCACATTGGAATCTGAATTTACATCTTATTTATTTTACATTGATCATTCTTTTTATTTTGTTATTTTTTATTTTTTCTGGGATAACTCATTATGTGGTATATACAGTAAATGATAATCATGATGTATTATTTTCTTTCTCACCATTCTCCAAGCATTTTCAAAGGTTTGCCACAGTATTAGGGATAAACCTGAAGGCACCTTAATGGATCCAATCCAATCCAATTGTATTTGATTTGTTAATCTCATCTTCTATTTGAATTTTGAAATCTTGAATTCAATTTTAGAAACACAGGTAAAGCAAGAGTTAAAAAAATGGTTTTCAAAATCATAGCTTCTTGATTTTATTAACACAAAATTAAGTTTAAAGATTTGGATTTTATAGATAGTTATCCATTTAATTAAGTTCAGTTCAATAATTCAATCTTAATTTCCGCAACGTACCTACCGTGACAAAAAACTTTTCGGAATGTGAATACTTTTCTAAGATTGGATTAAAATATAAAATAAAGAAATACCAATTGTCATTAAGATTGATTAAACTTCCTCATTATTAGGCTATTGTTATCAGGGGAGAAAGCACTTGACTCGTTATTTTCGGATACTCGGACGGTTCTCCTTTCTACAATCCACATCAAATGGCTCTAACCACACTCCCATCTCCCCCAAAGAGAGGAAACATAAAGAACAATGTTAGCCTTACTCATTCTCTCTAATCACTCTTCTTATTCACCTGTGTTAAAATAATAAAAAAATAGATAAAATTAATATTTTAACAAAGGTAAATAAAAAAAGTGAGTATAAAAAGTGAATAGACTAACATTATTCACACACAAATACATCCAACCAAGCAACCCCTCACGCTGCCTAGTTTCTGTCGCGTGATCATCTCTGAAACCTGAATTGTTTCTTTTACACGTGTGAACTCAACTCTGAACTATGAAACGAGTTGGTTGTGAAATAGTAACCAAGATAGTTTGAAACTAACTACAGTTGTTTTTCTTCTCATTCACTCACATTGACAACTGTTCTATACTTGAAGCCTTTATTAAGTGTCTATTTTTCAATGGTTAAACAGAGACATTTGCTTGTGAAACCCACATTGCTCTCTTCCCTTTTCTTATTCAGCTGTCACTAAAAAGGTGCAAAAATGAGAGCTCAACTTATTCTATTATTATGTCTTCTCTTTAACTGTAAGTAATCATAGCTTATCTCAATGTTCAGCCTTTTCTGGGTCATTATACTTTAGAGTTTGGGTGGTAGTCTTTTCATTTTTTCTTTTTTGTTTTCGTCATGTAATTTCTGTGAAAGCATGAATTGGATCTTCAAGAAATTTTATATCTTGCAAAGCAATGCCTGGGTTTTGACAGATAAATCCTACATTGTAATTTTTGTAAGTTTGGAAAGTGAATTCTGGTACTTGGTAGTTTTGCAATGTTCTGTGAGTAACGGAACTTCGATGTTTGTTGCCTGTGGTAAACTGTTTTTGATGTTCAAATATATTGAGAACCAAGGTAGCATTTTCTGGTAATTCAGTCGCCACTGTTTAGGATTTACTCGAATTTAAGGGGAAATACAGTTCTGTAAACTGAAGAGCTGTATGAAAAATGAGAATTTGATGTAATTTTAGTTGAACAAAGCTGAAGTCACTATAATCATAATTTGACCTTATTTTTGTTTGCAACATAAGCGATATAAGAGAAAATTGTTGCCATTTAATTGTAGCATGACCATTAAATAAACCAATTTAGTAAAATGGTAAACACAAGGCTAAAATAAAAGTTCAAATAGATCCAGGTGATCTTCTTGCTTTAATCATGATTTTGTTTTCACCATATCTAAGCATATGAGTTAATTCAGCTTTATGTTGTTTATATCCAGGTTTATGTAGATTCCATTGCACCACAGTTGATGATGTAGAAGGTTACATATCCAAGAAAATACAGAGTAAGGCAATGCCTCCTGATCTCGCCCCGAGCCCAGACCCTCAACCCTTTCTTCCTCTTATAGCTCCTTCTCCATTGATACCAATCACAAACAGAAGTCTGCCAAGCTTATCAGGTATTTTGTACTTTCTCTTCTCTCATTGCTTACTGTGAGAACTAATGCTATGAAGTGTCGTTGGCAGCAATTTCATAGATACCAATTTCATAGAAACATGGGCAGACTTTTATGTGACATAAGATGGATGTTTGGTAAGATGAACCAAGATTTTGCGAAAGCCATTTGTCAATGGGCTTCTAAGGCATCCCAGTTAAATCAATAAACACTATCCGTCATGGCAATACTCTCATACTTCTCTTATCATGGGCTAATTTAGATGAGAAACTCTTATCTTAATATTATGTACACAAAGAAAATTGGAGCAAATTTGGACATTCCAATGCTCCTTGATAGTAAAATGACAAGTTGGCCTTCAAACTGACACTAATAAGAAAAGCTTCTCCCTGAGCCGTCCTCTGCTGCCAAAAGACTTCCATTCCATTTAAATTGCTTTTTCTTGAAGTATAGTGCTATATTTATTTATTTATTTAGTGTGGAGTGCTTCCCTATACTAATAATGCTTCTAAAGTGAATTCTTTTTTTTTTTTGGGCATAATATCTTTCAGGATTCTGTACGTTAAACTTTTCAGCTGCTGCAAGTTTGATGAGCACGACAGCAACTGACTGCTGGGATTCCTTTGCACCATATTTAGCCAATGTAATATGTTGTCCTCAATTTGATGCATCCCTTGCGATTCTTATGGGACAATACAGTAAATACTCAGGGATGCTTCATTTGGATAAGACAAATGCCAGGCACTGCCTCTCTGATTTTGAAATGATTTTAGAGAGTCAAGGCGCAAATAATCAGCTTCAAAAGTTATGCTCGATTCGTCCTGAAAACCTTACTGAAGCCTCTTGCCCTGTTTCAGATGTTAAGAAGTTTGATAGCATTGTGGACTCTTCAAGACTTCTGGCTGCCTGTGGAAAAATCGACCCTGTAAATGAGTGTTGTCACCAAGTTTGCCAAAATGCTATACTAGACGCTGCTAGAAAAATTGCTAGGAATGGTACATCGAATTAGCCTGAGAACTCAACCAGGATTGATGATTGTAAGAATATTGTCTTTCGGTGGCTTGCCAGTAAACTCGATCCTTCTTCAGCAAATCACGTACTGAGAGGACTTTCTAATTGCAAATTAAATAAAGGTGAGCATGAAAGAATAGGTCTATTTTTTTTTTTTGTAAATTAGTTTAAATGCAACACTAATGTGCATAGACAATTTTATGGTTATGATGTTTCATTTTTCATGTTCTGTAAATAATTTATCAGCATCAGTGAAGCCCAGGGTTGAAAGTTGCTGTTTAATGTTTCTTTTCTCATTGTTTATCATCTGTTTCAGGCTGTCCCCTCGTTTTTCCCAAAACAATAAATGTTACTAAAGAATGTGGATATATGATTAGCAATCAAACTGCTTGCTGCAAAGCCATGGAGAATTATGTATCCCACTTGCAGAAGCAGAGCTTCATTACTAACTTGCAGGGCTTAAATTGTGCTGCTTCACTTGGGATGGAGTTGCAGAAAGCTAATGTCTCCAGCAATGTTTATGATCTTTGTCATATCAACCTGAAGGACTTCTCTCTTCAAGGTCAGTGCTGTTGTATCCCCTCTAAATGAGCAACTCTTGGTCCTTTTTTCATTTTTCAAAAAAATTGACACTGATATCTGGTTCTTTATGGTTTATATATGGCATGGAATTGACTGATGGGATGTGCCAGTTGGATCAAAAGGTAATGCTTGTATATGCTATCTCACCTTTTGAGCAACTTCTCAGTTTTATATTACATGTGGTTATCCTTTTTTCTCTTCAATTATTCTAATTGGCGTTTTGCCTTCTACATTTCATAGATCTCCTGATCTACGAAAATATAATTGTCTAACTGATCTGGCAACCTTGAATTTTTCACAGTTTTGAGCTCAACGAGGAATGCTGTAATATCCGTCTGATTTAAAATTCTATTCTACTATAACTGCCTTTTACTTATACGAACTCTTAGAATAGATTTCTGTTTAGTTCTTGAAATTCTTGACTGCTATGAAAATTGTTTAATTTTTGAAATATACTTCATCAGTAATATCTTGAGAAGTTAATCCTAATTACTCTGACTATTTCATCACACTTCAGACTTTACACTTTAATATAATTAATGCAAAAGGAATTGTTCTTCCTCATTTTCTTTCTACTAGTATTCCTAATTTGTTTTAACGTTCTAACTGTCCTTTCACTAGATTCTGGTTGTCTTTTGCCAAGCTTGCCTTCGGATGTGACCTATGATGCAGCTTCAGGAATTGGCTTCATTTGTGATCTAAATGACAACATTGAAGCCACTTGGCCCTCTACTTCTATTCTACTGGGTTCCTGCAATGAAAGTATGGTGAAAATGTTAAATCTCTTTTGTCAAAAGCATGTAGTTTCTTTAGCCTGCTCTTACGATAAATAATTTGTGTACACGATCAAATTTCAGCTACCAAACTTCCAGCACTTCCTACAGCTACATCTGCTCAAAGTGGTGAGGGAACTTTGATTTTTCCTTTTTTCTTTTTTTGTTCCTATTATTATTATTATATTTTAGAGTAACAAAAAGTTCCTTATGAAAGCATAAAGATTTAGGTTGATAAAAGGTGAATATTTAATCATTGATGATTAATCAACTTAAGCAAAGTTCTTGTAGTTATAGAGTCAGGCTAAATATTTTCACCCATTTCAGGTCTTTACATGAAGAAGTCGGTGTTCTTGCCTTTGCTATTGAGCTCCTCATTAGTTCTGACTACATTAATTTGAACCTGTTTATCTCTATGAGATATAATCATTCTTCAAGCCTTTGGGTATGAATACTTCAGGTATACATTTGAGGAGAACGAAAGAGCATTGATTGATTTAGTCTTCCAAATTCAAAATCTATAATTTGTATAGTATTTAGTTTCAAAGCTGCGCTAGAGTTATGTTCAACTTTTGATAGCATTTTTTTTGTGTAATACTATGACTTCATAAAAAAAATTAATATAAAAGAGGAACATCGTGTTGGCTATAGTGTACAGATACAACATATTGCATTTTAATAATTTTCCAAATGAATATTCTTGTTTATTGACTAGTACTACTCTGTCTGGTTATACGCATTTTGATCAACATTTTTCTCAATATGTTTAAAATTGGGATTTTGCTACGTTCGCTGGGGCAGCTATCACCATTTGATCGTGGTCAGTTTTGATTCAAATTATTCAATAATGGTTGCTAATGCTGGCCCAAGCATGACCCTTAAATTATCTCTTCAAAAAGGTCAATAAAGGATAAGAATAAATAATTAAAACTCCATAATCAAAGTTTATGCACATTGGAAACTTGGATTTGGCTTTTGCTACATAATTATAAAATTGACAGTTAGTAGTAGTATTTTACCATGTATGATTAACGGGACAGCCCAACAGGTGCGTCTTAGGTGTAACCCCTAATTTAAACGAAAATCATACTATGAAAATAACCTTAACCCACTATACATGTGTGATGGGACAAGTGCTTCTGCTATGATTTTTCCTTGGGAAAAAAAAAATTGAAATAATCCATTAGATATTAAGTTAACACTTGAGATTTGTGGGTCAACCAATAATTCACCTGGGCTTTTTTGACTCAGTCATCCTTTTGTTGGTGATGGACTGGTTAGCTTTTTTGTATAGGTATTTTTCAGGTGATTGGTGGAGCCCTTAGGCTCTTGTTTTTTGCTTGTGCCTCTGTAGTGTTTTTTTTAAGTTCTTGGTGCCTTGTACCTGTCCAAGGTTCTTGTGTTTAAAGGGTTATCCCCCTTTTTAGGTTGTATTTTTTATTCTTTTTAATATTACCATTTACCCAAAAAAATAATTATGTGAGTTGTGAGGTACAACAATTGTTAGAGATATATCATCTGATCGAATTGACTGTCACAAGGGCTCCTTCATTCAAGTTTTTAAAAAGGTTATACAAGTAAATAAATGTTTTTAACAATTAAATTTGTCTTGCTTCAACTTAATTGTAAGGTGGAAAGATGAATGATAATTCAGACTTTTACTTCGTTAAAATCAGAACTCGAGTGTCTTGCAAGAACACTATATGTTTGAAACTTATAACGTGTAGTAGCCTATAGGAGATCTCAGAGTAGATGTAAATAATCTATTAGAAACGTGTTGACTTGCGCCAATTGAATCAAGGCCTCAACGGTCAACATGGAGTAGCTAGCTTATTGCTATTCTTTAATTTGAATATTGATAGTGTTCGTTTGTATTTTGTTCATAAATGCCTAGATAGCGGCACGGCGCCGCCGCCGCCCCATAAACACTAACATGCATATTCCGTTATGAGAAATAGTTACATCTTTTTGCACCACATTCCATGCTGCTTCCTTATAAAATGTAATTCCTCTAATGGGCGTTGAGTTCTTCTCAATGTGAAAACAAGATGCTTTTTCTCTTTCTTTCAAATTCAGGGTCCAACTGATTCGGAATTTTATTGAGTTACATGGAATTTAGTTGATTCTAATTGAAAGTATATCCTTTTTTTCATTAATTTACTTTCCATAAAGTTACCCCTGAATAGTTAGCAACATTGCGAATGCAATTATTTCACCAGCTTGCGTGACCCAGCCAGCCACCATCCAACACCCATTCAAATTCAGTCGTTAATTTATAAACGACAAGACGCTTGATAAGGTCTCTCTAGTAATGATATCCTTAATTTCATTTTCTCCTATATTAGTCACAACTAACCAGTGGCCGCGACATACAATTCACTCATAAAACCTCCAAGTGATCTCCGCCAAAAAAAAAAAAAACACTAGATGGGTTCCTCAGAAAATGATATTCACCAACCTCTGCTTCAATCGTATCCTCCATCTTTGTCACCCCAACTATCAGACACAAAACATGAATCGGACGGCCAGCTTGAGGCCATATTATCTAACGGTGAGCTCCCATTCTTGCAGCGCCTGCAACAGGCAACACGGATTGAATTGAAGCTACTGTTCCATCTCGCTGCACCTGCAGTTATTGTTTACATGATAAACTATGTCATGTCTATGTCTACCCAAATCTTCTCTGGTCATCTAGGAAATCTAGAGCTTGCTGCAGCCTCCCTTGGAAATACCGGCATCCAAGTCTTTGCCTATGGTCTAATGGTATATTTAACATTTGTGTATATATGTTATATAATTAGTTATCAATGAAGTAGTAATAAGGTTTGTAATTTCATTGTTTATTATTAATAGTTGGGAATGGGAAGTGCTGTGGAGACGTTGTGCGGACAAGCATATGGTGCCCGCAAATATGAAATGCTTGGCATATATCTGCAAAGATCAACAATCCTTCTCACACTCACTGGGATATTACTCTCCTTCATCTACATCTTCTCTAAACCCATATTGATCTTACTCGGTGAATCACCAGAAATAGCTTCAGCAGCGGCAGTTTTTGTCTATGGTTTGATACCCCAAATTTTTGCCTATTCTCTAAACTTCCCTATCCAAAAATTTTTACAAGCTCAAAGCATAGTGGCCCCGAGTGCATACATTTCAACAGCCACATTGGTTATACATCTTTTGCTTAGTTGGGTTGCAGTGTACAAGATTGGGCTTGGGTTGTTGGGTGCATCATTAATGTTGAGTTTTTCATGGTGGATTATAGTTGTGGCTCAGTTTATATACATTCTTAAGAGTGAGAAGTGTAAGTATACATGGGAGGGGTTCAATATACAAGCCTTTTCAGGGTTGCCAAGCTTCTTCAAGCTCTCGGCTGCGTCAGCTGTGATGTTGTGCTTAGAGACGTGGTATTTCCAGATCCTTGTTTTGCTGGCTGGGTTGCTAGAGAACCCTGAGTTGGCTTTGGATTCACTCTCCATTTGGTAAGCTCAAAATATTTCTCTTTTATATATGTGATTAATACATTCCAGCTGGACCTGCCGCCATTTAATGTCACACCCTTTGTTTTAGGTTAATTATCACACCTAACATCCATGATTTCATACTTTGTAGGAAAAAAAATTATTATTTCACACATATTCAATTTATAACTTCATAGTTTTAATTTTCAAAATAAGGATTAAAAGGTAATAATTAACTTTATAAAAGTACCTGAACTGGTAAATGATAGAAAACGTGAATCATTTTTTAAGTTCTAATTTCATGTGATGAACTGGTCGTCATGACGTAATAGAACTACAGTTGTGCACGTAATGATTTCTAAGCCACGTAAATTTCTTTGCCCAAAGATGAAAGGGATCTCTGAAAAATAACAGTCAAAAGATGATTGCATTGTCTTTTATTATGGGAATACTTATTATTTATTAAATCTTTTGTCCCGTTCCTCATTAGTAATGAAGTATATCCGCATTAACCTGTACCGTATGTTTTTTAATTATTGTCAATAGTATAATCAACTGACGGTTCAATGTTGTTTAATTATTGTCAATTCATTGATGCTTAATTAATTGGTTGGTGATTGCAGTATGACGGTATCTGGATGGGTGTTCATGATCTCAGTCGGGCTCAATGCAGCAGCAAGGTTATTATATTACATTACAGTTACTATTTATTCATTATTCTTTAAATAACAACTTATATATGTCTTACCTGAATGATATCCAAACAGTGTGAGAGTAAGCAATGAGCTGGGAGCCGGAAACCCAAAGTCAGCATCATTTTCTGTATTAGTTGTGACAATAATCTCCTTCATTATCTCGGTGATTGCGGCGATACTAGTGCTAGCATTGCGTGATGTTATCAGCTATGCCTTCACAGAAGGTGAAGCCGTAGCTGCAGCTGTCTCGGATCTCTGTCCACTTCTTGCCCTCACCCTTACTCTTAATGGAATTCAACCTGTGCTGTCCGGTAAGATTAATTTGCTAGAATTGGAATATTCAAATGCATAGATAAATTGCATAGTTTAACATTAATTATTGATGATGAAGGTGTGGCTGTTGGGTGTGGATGGCAAGCTTTTGTTGCATATGTTAACGTGGGATGTTATTACGTGGTTGGTATCCCACTTGGTGCACTTCTAGGTTTCTATTTCAACCTTGGTGCCAAGGTACGAAACCCCATTATATTTGATGCCAAGAACTACGTATTCTTCTAATCATAATCTTATTATTTATAAACATGTAGTTTTGATCATAGATTTAACTTTAGGTACATGTTTATATTTTTATTTATACGTAATGAATTAGATATGGTACTAATTGTTAACGTGTTTTATAGGGGATATGGTCAGGGATGATTGGGGGCACGGTAATACAAACATTCATTTTGATGTGGGTCACATTTCGGACAGACTGGAATGAAGAGGTACTTCTCATAATAGAATGACTTTTTTTACAAGAGAAAGATCAACTCGCTTTGTGCTAATTTTGACAAAAATAGAAATTAATTAATTACTTTTCGCTAAATTAACATAATATTACTTTGAATTGCAGGTCGAAGAAGCTATGAAGAGATTGAATAGATGGGAGAACAAGAAAGAAGCCCTTTTGAAGTGACTAAAGTCAAAGGCCTTTGATTGACCGAGAAAAAAAAAAAAAATACCCCATCGACCAAATGATTTCTTCTACTGTTGAACTTAATATTCTAAATTGAACAAAACATGTAGCTTATATTCTGTTTAATAGATGCAAATTTATCCGCAACTGAGCAGAATCAAAACAAGTACCATATTTATAATTTTCTTACGTTAAAAAAAAATGAGGAAAGAAAAATCCGGTTACAGTGAATAACAAATATTTACCGTGGATACAGCTCAATGCGTTAAGAAAAAAAAAAAAAATGCTTACATAGCTGAAGCCTTGGATATATATAGTGCACAAAGAGTCAAATATTTTGCCAAAAAAGGAAAGAGACTCTTGAAAGCGTGTGCCTTGTGTGGTCAGTGAATCAGTGGTCACATGAATTATAATCAGTTCTTCTATCCATTCGTATTTGTTGGTTTTCTAGCTTTGTTTTATGTTGTGGAAAATATGGGTGCTATCCTGCTACACCATCAACGTAACATCCATTGCTTCTTACCGTATATGTTACATTATCATCTCACTAACAGGCTGACACGTTTGCTGCACATGCAAATATGGCAAACATTGCTGTTGTCTACTAAATATAGCCTATAGGCATGGGATTATTAGATGAGGATCATTTTGTTATTACGCAAAATGTTTAACCTTCATCAAATATTGATTTATAAGGACCGGCTTCTGGTATCCATACTTCTCGATATGAAGAAATTTCCACAATTAATGGTGTTTATGATTGCATCAAATACAAAACCTTGTGAAAACGAAATAACTTTGTTGTTTGTTGCCTGTGATAAACTGTTTTTGATGTTCAAATATTTCGAGAACCAAGGGAGCATTTTCTGGTAAGAGAAATTGTGCTCATTTTTGTTTGTAAAATAAACTATGTAAGAGAAATTGTTTCCATTTACTATGTAGCTTTACCATTAAATAAATCAATTTAGTAAAATGGTAAACACAAGGCTAAAATATTTAATCTAGAGAAAACATTAATTTAACATTGTAGCTTAATGTGGAATTCTTACTACAACAAATTTTTAATTTAGAGACGAAATATTTAGGGACGAATGTAATTAGTTTCATCCCATAATGATCATTTCAAGGGATGAAATTGTAATTTCATTAAAAAATGCTTTGCACTCAATTTCCAACCTGCTTCAACAATTGATTTCACCAACTATATGGAGGGAAATCATTCTGGGACAAAATTTATTATTTTGGGCAAAAAAAATTATAACTAAAAACTTTTTTTTTTTCTGGGACGAAATTTTTTGTCTCTAAGGGGCCGTTTGGATGGGGTTAATATTAGATAACTGGGGTAATATTTTTTAAATTGAGCAGATGACGATGTTTGGTTGGTTTGTAAAAAATTATTCTCGAAATATTTTATGACAAACAAGAGCATTTGGGGTGTATATTGCTTGGAGTCTTAATACCTTGGGGGAGGGAGGCGCTGTTATTAAAACTTACCCTAGTAATAAATTTTGTTTCCCATGTTGCCCCTAAACAGTTAAGCATTTGGTTCAAATTAACCTTATATTTGTTAACATTTACAAAACACCTAATTCACTCATGCAGACACTTTTGTCCTCGCTTTTTAAATTTTTCGGACGACATTGCCTTGTTATTGTCATTATTTATAGAAATGCCATTATAACTGGAACTAGCCACCGTCGACTGCCGTCAGAGGCTGCCAAAAGTCGCCATAATGGCGTACGATTGATCCTATATGGCCGGTCGTGCGCCAGTGAGGCTTTTTCCGACCATGGATCTGTGATCCATGGCTGGAAAATGCCAGATTTGGCTATTTCACAGCTAGATCTATGGTTGTTTCACGGCCAAGAATGTGGCCATGAAACGGTGGCTGATTTGGCCACGAAACGGCCAGGTCTTTGGTAGTGAAACGGCTGACATTTCACCATCAAAGACTTGGCCATTTCATAGCCAGATATGTGGTCGTGAAATGACCATAGATTTAGCTGTAAAATGGCCAGGTCTATGGCACTGCCAGTAGTGGTGGATGGCTGCGGGCAATGGCTTGGGTGGGTAGGGGTGTTTTTGTTAAGTTTAAAATGTTTTTGGTTGCGAGGGTGTTTTGCCAAATCTGAAAAGTAGGGGGTTAAAAGAATTATTCAAAAAATATATATATATATATATATATATATTGTTAATTAATATTTAAAAAGGAGGGTAATTTAGTAATCTATATAATATACCCACCCATTTATCTTTCCAACCAAACATATTATTCACCAATTTATTCGAACCAACCAAACACATTTTCTAAACATTCACAGTAATCTTTAAGATGATCTTTTATTCTGTTAATATAATATCCCCCTATAATAAAATATTATATGATCCAAACGTCCCTTAATTGTACAAAATTTGGAAAACTTATCAGGGACGAAATATGATTTTGTCCTCGATATTCCAATGAAAAATTTGGAGATAAGAGGTTCTCTGTCTTGTGGGGTCCATCCTAACACTAACATCTCACGACCTTTTCTCTATTGATTGTAGCTCCCTACTAATTGTTGTTGATATTTGATTGCTATTGTGTGTAATTATCTGGTTACCGGTGACTCCCCATTAGTTCTAACCTTCCCACAACCAACCCGCCCACCACTTGTTTGACAAAATTCCTCATCCAAACCCTTTGAAATATGGAGGGTTATTTTCATTTTCATTTCAGTCTTTTCAGATTTAATATAATACAAATTACTACTTTATCCTTTGACTGTTAAATCAAACATAAACTGTTAATTTAAGGGCAATAATTCAGAATTTATGAAAGCAGGGTGGGAACTGTCATTTCGCTAAACCTTGGGTGGGAACATGTTGTTTATTCTTTTATTACACCACTAAAATTATAAAGTGGGTTGCTTTCTTGTGCTTTGAGCAGATATAATATTTCTAAAAATCTGAAACATTTACAGTTTTGACAGGCAAAGGACCCGTATTGTTGAGTTGGCTTATTGTTAGTGGTTAATGGGTTGAGGTCTGTTTGGAAACAACAAAGCTACGGACACCAGCATTTTTGCACCGAAAATGTGTACCGACCTACGTGTCCCCTGACTCACACTAACAATACAGACGCGTTATTAAATATTTTTCTAGTGAACGGCCGTCCATCAAATATGGACGACCGTTCACTTACATGGACTTCCGTCCATATTATATGAACGGGGGTCCATTTACTATGGACCGGCATCCCCATTTAAAGGATGCCCGTCCATAAATAAAATGGAATAATTTTTTTTATAAAAATTAGGGACAGTCGTTCATAGGTTATGGACGGCTATCCCTAAATATTAATGGACGCCTGTCCATTAACAATTCTTTTAAAAAAATTAAAAAACATTTAGGGACGATCGTTCATCCGTTATGGACGCCCGTTCATCTGTTATGGACGACCGTCCATTCATTTTGGATGGGCACCTGCAAATAAGGGACGCCCGTCCTTAACCAAAATATGAAAATTTAAAAAAAAAAAAAAAACTTTGGAGACGCCCGTCCACAAATTGTGGACGGCTGTCCCTTACTTTATTTTGGTTTTACAAAACTAAAGAAAAAATTTGGACGGCCGTCCATAAATCCCAACTTCCTTCCATCTTTGGTGCACAATACCACCACAACTTCTCAGAAAATTTTCATGCATGACTTAACTATGGCATCTTACATGTTGCCTATCTATTCACTTTGTCGCGATCATGCAAATCCTCTCGACTGTTGCATATTCGACTTAGATGCCATAAAAAGCATGACTCAGCAATTATAGCATTTTAAGTTGAGAAGGTACCTTGATAAAACTTGAGAATGTGCTGACAAGGATTGAGCTGTATTGTTGAGGAGTATAGGCTTTGTTAAGTATAGGATTCACATAGTAGTTCTGAAGAAAATCGCCACTCCCTGCACCCAAAACATATATTGCATCCTGTATGATGGAAGCTGATTGTTTGGTTCCAGAAACCTTTGCTAGCTTTGACTGATACTCCTTATAGTACTGCAACTGCTTAGACAATGGGATTGCATGCTGCAACACAAAGCACAGTTCATTTTTTTCTGAGAAGAAATATTTATCTGAAACACTAAAACAGTATACGGATAATTCTTGATGGTAGTACAATCTTAAAATACTTACGTTTATGCTGGATGTTTGGTCCTCATAACTAGCTCCAGCTGAAGCAAAGTTGGCTCCAATAAGAAGGTTCTTGCCTGAAGCCTGTGGACTAAGATATGGCAGTGCATAATTCGTAAATTGTAGGGTATCAGTTGAAAGAGAAATTGAAAACAAAAGAAATTAGTATTCTAATTTTATAATTTAGACAAGGTTATAAATTATTTGAGTACTACTTACCAGTGAAGCCCGTGACTAATTTTCCATTGCAAAACCTTCCAGTGGGTTGATGATTGACGAAGTCTTTTCCATAAGGTGGGTAATTGGCCTTGAAAAGAGTTGGAATATAGTTGTTGTTACCAACATCAACTGCAGAATTACCAAAAGTAATGCTGGCAGGAGCAAGAGGCTGTGAATACCCTTTGCTTGAAAGAGTGAACGCAAGGATGACTAAAAACAGTAACCTTTTGCAACTCAAGTCCATGGCTTCCCTTACAAATGGTGCTTGAGAAACTTTTGAGTTAAGACACTGAGCTTATAATGGAAAGGACGTTAACCGATTTAAAGTAGCCTTAAAGGAGGAGGATAGAGGTTGGGAGTGGCTAATAAATACAGTAGCAAGTTAATTGCTGAGTCATGCTTTTTGTGGCATCTAAGTCGAATATGCAACAGTTGAGAGGATTTGCATGATCGCGACAAAGTGAATAGATAGGCAGCATGTAAGATGCCATAGTTAAGTCATGCATAATTTTTTTTTGAGAAGTTGTGGTGGTATTGTGCACCAAAGATGGAAGGGAAGCTGGGATTTATGGACGGCCGTCCAAATTTTTTCTTTAGTTTTGTAAAACAAAAATAAAGTAAGGGAGTCCCCAAAGTTTTTTTTTATTTTTTTATTTTTTTTTAATTTTCATATTTTGGTTGAGGACGAGCGTCCCTTATTTGCGGGCGCCCGTCCAAAATGAATGGACGGCCATCCATAACGGATGAACGGCCGTTCCTAAATGTTTTTTAATTTTTTTTAAAAGAATTGTTAATGGACGGGCATCCATTAAAATATGAACGCCCGTCCAATATTTAGGGACAGCCGTCCATAACCTATGAACGACCGTCCCTAATTTTTTTAAAAATTGTTTATTCCATTTTACTTATGGACGGGCGTCCTTTAAATGGGGATGCCTGTCCGTAGTAAATGGACCCCCGTCCATATAATATGGACAGGAGTCCATGTAAGTGAATGGCCGTCCATATTTGATGGACAACCGTTCACTAGAAAAATATTTAATAACGCGTCTGGATCGCTGGTGTGAGTCAGGGGACATGTAGGCCGGTACACATTTTTGATGCAAAAATGCCGGTGTTCGTAGCTTTGTTGGTTTGGAAAATAGAGAAACTGGTTCAACAAGCAACTGTGGAATGAACCTAGAAGATCCACTCATGCTTTGAGTCTTGATTCATATTTTGAGGGAAGTGCTTTAATCAAAAGTGCTTTTCAGTTTTACAGTTAAAAAAATAAATAAAAAAACCAACCAAAAATACCTCTACATGTGAAGTGCAACTTATAGGAATTTAAGTTATATTATTGTTTAACTGAAAAAAAAAAAAAAAAAGAAGCTTGATTCTATCACCAGTAATGGTCAGACCTTACAGAAGAAGTAGACCAAATATTTCAGCCTTTTGAAAAAGCACAAACGCATGTTGTTAGATATAAATCCTTATATATATATATATATATAAGGTTTTAAAATCTAACGCGGGGAGTGACCCGATCAGGTCACCGGGTTGGCCGGTCGAACTGGTTCAACCGTTGGGTCAAACTGTGATGTCATCATGTTGATGTCAACATGATGATGTCATTCTGACATCAGCATGACATCAACATGACATATAATAAAATAATAAAAAAGCGGTTCAACCGTTGGGTCAGACTGGTTGGACCGACGGTTTGTAACAAAAAATCCGGTCTAACCGCGGTTCCAACTGAGTCATTTAATATTTTTGGTTTTTTATTTGAACAGACTAAGCCGAGTCGGGTCTTAAAACCATATATATATATAGAGAGCTGGGCATTTAGGACCGGGCCCAAAAGCCCAACTCGAAAACCCAATCCTAGGACCGGTCCTCGAGAGGACCGAACCTAGGAGGTTTGGTCCCAAAACGGGACCAGGCCTAAGGAGGAGGGCCCGAGCCCTCCACTGGGCCCTCCTCCAAGGCCCAGGCCTGGGCCCGAAAAAATTTATATTTTTTCAATATAGTCCCCTACCAAATTACATAAAACCCCTTGTCAATTTGAAAATAAATATAAATTAAGAGGGCTAAAAAAAAATTTACAAAATTTATAAAAAAAAAAAAATCTTCTAGGTTTAAATTTTTTATAAAATTTATAAATTTTACCCCTAAAAAAATACTAAAAACCCCCCATAAAATTTCATTTTGCCCCCACATATAAAAAAAATTGAGGGGGGAAAATTAATTATCCAAGCCCCATGGGACTGGTCCTAGGACCAGTCCTGGGCCCATAGGACCAGTCCCTACCAGGCCTAAGGCCTGGTCCGGGTCCTAATTTTTCTCATGGGTCCCAGGCCCATGAGTGAATGGTCCCATTTGGGACCAGTCCCAAACGGGCCCAGGCCTGGGCCTGCTTGAGACCAGTCCCTGCCTACCTCTATATGTATATATGTATGTATGTATGTATGTATGTATGTATTAAGTCATTTAAATTAATTAATAATAAATTATGGTAATGATATTATGAATAGAACTGTAGTTATTTATTTAGAATTTATTTTAAATTCTATTTAATAATTTGATAAGAGATTTAAAAAAATTATATCTTAAAGAATAACACTACACCTACAGCATTCTTATAAAATATTATGTGGCAAAATATAATTGGGTAAAAGTTTAATTTAAATTTAAAATCAGCAATCAACCAATCATATTTTGCCACATAATGTTATATGAGAAATATTATACAAAAATGTTGTATGTGTAGTATTACTCTATCTTAAATAAACATAATTTATCATTTATCAAATAGACATATTGTATCATTTCATAAGAGATATAATTTTTAATAATTTGATAAGAGACTTAAAAAAAAATGGATATAAAGTCTCTTAACAATTTTAATATAGTACAAATATAATATTATAATAGTATTATTATATGTATTATTTGATTCATTATAAAGTTATATATATATATTTGGGGATTCCTCGATCCAGGAACGGGCTGGATTCGAGGAATCCCCTTGGGCTTTCAGGTCGGGGCCGGAGACAGGGGTCCTCGGCTTTGACCTGGCCCGTGTCCATCCCCAGGTTTGACTTCCATTTCACATACCCGACCTTTTCAGTTCTGTTCGACAACTATTTAGCTCCCATGACCCATTTTGGCGGCTATCCACCTTTTTTAGTCTTTGGTTAGGTGAGTTCTTAATCCTTATTTTCCATACTTGTTCGTCTCTAAATTTAGTTGACGTCATCATGTTAAATTTAGTTGATGTGATTATTTTGATAAGTGGTTATATTTTTGTCACTTTATAGTTATTAAATCATGGATAAGACTTGGATGAAGGAAAAAAAAATGGTCAAAAAGATATGTGGAAAATTTGTGGAGAACAACTCAGGTGGGGAATGTGATATTAGATGTCCATGTACAAATTGTTTGCATTTGTACATCCAAGGGCAAAATGTTGTTTACGATCACTTACTTATTCAAGGGATGAATACTGACTACACTAGATGGATCTATCATGGCAAGCACTCTAATTTTGATATTGGTTTTTCTTCTCATTCTAATGGTTGTGATGATGAGGACTATCATGGAACACCTAATAATAAGGGAGAGGTTATGGGATGCAGGAGATGTTAAATGACTTTGAGAATTTAAGAGATCATTGTATGGGAAGTGGTCCTCGTGGCGATGTTCATAATGAGGCAGTAGGGTATTCATATACGAGTTCTGAAAAGTTGTTGATGGAAGCTCAACAAGAGTTGTATCCAGGTTGTTCAAATTTCACAACATTGTCATTCATAGTAAAGTTGCTTCATTTGAAGGTGTATAACAAATGGAGCAACAAATCATTTGACATGTTGCTTGATTTACTTAAACAAGAGAAACCAATTGGTGAGAAACTTCCAAAATTACGAAGCAAAAAACATGTTGCGTGATTTGGGTTTAGGATATATCTCTATACATGCATGCAAGTATGATTATGCCTTTTTTTTTTTGGAAAGATTATGAGCATCATGAATATTGTCCTAAGTGTGGTACTTCCAGATGGTAAACAGATGATAGGAAAGGCAAGAAAATTCCTCTTAAAATTTTGCGATACTTCCCCTTAAAGTTGAGGCTTCAAAGGTTGTTTATGTTAAAAAAAAAAAAAAAAATAGCTATAAAAATGAGTTGGTATAAAGATGGAAGAGTAGATGATGGAATTTTGAGACATCTAGATGATTCTCAGGTATGGAAAGATCACTACAACATTATGCATTTTTAGTCATGACGTTCATTGTAGCTAAAAGTATGAATTTGTGTAGCTAAACGGTTTAGTTACAAATGCAATATTTTATAGCTTATCGTAGCTAGAAGTGACGTAGCTAAAAGTTAGCCATATAACTTTTTGTTTACATAGGTAACAATTAATATTTTTTGCTATGGATGAGATTAATATGTAACTAAAATCTTAAATATTTTTGCCATAACAATAATAAGCTTGTAGCAAAAGCTTTGTTTTTATAGCCACGGAGAATAATCAGTATAGCTATGTTTGCATTTTAGCTACACAAATATAAATTTATAAATAAAACTTGAAATTCCTATTACAAAAATAATATCCATGGCAAATATATTAACATTTTGGCTACGTGACCACTAAATTCATAACTAAATAAAAAGATCATTTGCCACATATATAGTAAATTCGTAGCTAAATATTAAAATATTTGCTACGGACCTATAGAAATCATATCTATATATGAAAAGATATTGTTATGGACATAGTGTGTTAACAGCTAAATATTGAAATTACTTACTATGAATACTTTTGATTTGTAGCTAGATATTATAATTATTTGCTATGGACATATTGCAGTCATAATATAAAATTCAGTTGATATGGACATAGTGTGTTAATAGCTAAATATTGACATTACTTGCTATGAATACTTTTAATTTGCAGCTAAATATTATAATTATTTGCAATGGAACAAATAATTTATATCAAGAATTTATAAATTATTGCTTCGATTAATATTAATTGTAACAAATATTGCTATAATTAACAAATTTAATAATAGTTACAAATTTATAGCAATTTTTTTATATTAAATTAATAATATGACGTCATTTGAAAATTTTAATATAAAAAATAGAACATTAATAATGTCATTTTCAACCAAATAATTGTCTACTCGTAAAATCCTTCATCCGAGTAATTTAAAATGTTATCAACTAATTTTTTTACAAAATATAAATGCTTCAATA